TTAGTGTGTGTATTTTAATTAAAATTATATTTTTGTGAATAACTAAATCAAAAGTATATACTTTAATTATATTTATTAAATTATATAAAAATATCTTTTGTTATATAATTATTCAACTATTTCATATATTTATAAATAGGCCAGTCCTCTAAAAAAAAAAAAAATAATAGACAAGTTAGATTTTTTTCATCACATATTATCTTGTTTCTCTTTCTTTTTCATAACATCATATTTTCAATAAACGTTAACAAATAATAGTGTATTTTTTTTTAATAAAAAAAAGCATATAAGAGAGCTTTTTTTTGATTACATAAGAGTCAAAGCAGAAAGAAATAAAAGCCAGAAAAAATAGAAAGCAAAAACATAATTCTCCTGGCTAGCTATGTCTAGCCAAACTATCTACGAAGCACACATGTTCCTGTAATATCCTTCCTGAGAAGCTCTTCCATCTCCACAGGGGCTTCTTCCAAGATCACCAAACCTTCAGATGATACCGCACCTTTTCTAGCAAAAAAATCTGCACAGAAATTTCCCTCTCGTAGGATATGTATCACTTGACAGGTCCAATGTCTTGATATTAGCTCTTTAATCTTGTCCAGCAATACAGCATACCTATGGTAATGTGAGCTCTCTTGTTGAAGCAATTGAACGACATATAGGCAATCGGACTGACAACACACATGGGAATATCCCCGTTCCCAACATAGTGTGAGACCTCTCCACATGGCCACAAGTTCCGCATGGATGTTATTACTAATACCAATACTGCCATAGAATCCAACCATGAACAGACCCGTATTATCACGCACTAGGCCTCCCACACCTACTGCCCCTGGGTTTGTTAAGGCACTCCCATCAACATTTATTGTAACCCAATCTCCTTCCTTTGCTGTCCATCTCACCAGACGGGTACTTCTCTGCTGCCATATACTCCCTGTCGCAGGTTCCCCACCATACGCTCTTATAATAGCTGAGCACCAAGTGCTAACCCACACCTTTAAATCAGCCACCTTATCCAATTTTCCCTTAAAGATCATATTATTTCTTGATCGCCAGATAACCCAGAGCAACACCGGAATGATGCTACCTTGTTCCTCCACCCAACACTTCAGCCATTCCTTAATCTTTTCTGAATCTGTAGGTAGGTGAGGTTGACACAAACCAAGTGAATTCCAAAGTGCACCAATTCGCGGGCATTCCAACAAACAATGCAAAAGAGTTTCTTGTTGAGCATTACACATTGGACAATTACTATTATCAATGATACCCCGATGGACCAGTGTCTCCCTAGTTGGCAACGCTTCATGGCAAATTTGCCATAAGAAGAATTGAATTGATGCTGGCAAACAGGTTCGCCAAATCCAAGCCCAATTTGTTTCCTCAAGCTGATCAGATTGCTGTCGACATAGCCATGTATATGCACTCTTTACTGAATATAATCCTGTCAGTTCTGTCTTCCAAGTCCAAACATCCCTGACGTTCTCAGATGACATCCAGTACACCGCCATGACTTCCAAACAAATATCATCTGGTATTTGGGTCGCAAGCCTTCCAAGTTGCCAAACTCCATCCACACAAACATCTGCTACCGTTAGTTCCGCATCGCTAATATGAATCCATGGGACACGCTTCCCTAAGTGCATATAAGAGAGTTTGACATTTAAGAAGAAAACTAAAGACCCGTTAAATATTTTAGAGAAAAGTACATGACACAATGAGGTTACGTGAAATTGTACAAAAGACCGCTTACTTTTTCTGCCCTTGTAATTGTTTGAAAACGTTAGACTAACACATTAATTACTTGAAAAAACATTATTTCATTGTAATTTCCTGCTAGTAAAGTTACACTATAAATGTTATGAAATAAAATGAAGAATGTGTACAATTTCACAAAATCTCATTAAAAAGGTAATTCTTTTGTATACGTTTTCTTACTAGTTTTTTCTCATGTCTTTCAATCATTATATTGCACTGTTGTCTCTCTCATATATATATATATATATATATATATATATATATATATATCCAATAAATAATTGTGTGTAAAATATTTAAATTGATTTATATTAAAAAATTTAATTAGAGCAAAAAGCCAAACTGACAACCTTGTAAAATTGATGTTATTATTCGATCCATTTTCATACAGTGATTTTGTTAAGTTTAATTTGATTTTTTTTTAATAGAAAATCTAATTTTATAAAATAAATTGATCTACATTTTTAAAAAATCATATCAATTTACTTTATAAAAAACTAATTGATTAACCAATATACTTTTATAAAATAAATTGGTTGAACTCAATTTAAATTTTTGATAAATTCGATTCGTTAATAACCCCGTGCCTACAAGATTAATTATTTTCCTAATACAATGGTAATAACTACATATAAAAACTAGGTATAGGAGAGCACATAAATGTTGCAGACCTGAACACAACTACAAATTTAACGTGTTATAAAAAAAAAACAAAAAAACTACACAAACGAAAGAAAAAAAAATGAGAAAAAAAAAACTGATGTGATGTATTTCAAATTTTCTTTATTTTAAGTGTTAACTAGAGCATATATATATATATATATATATATATATATATATATATATATA